CTGAGAAGAGTTACGCCCTGACCCTGGACTACGCCGCCTACGCGTGAGACGGAATACCAGCCGAAGAGAACAGAAAAGGCGGAGGGCATCACCAATGAGGAGACGGGCCAGAAGCTCATCGCACCGAACGGACACCTGATCGCACGCGGAGATGGAAGCGGAGGAGCACACGGAGACGACGCAAGATATGGGAGATGCGGATGGAGCTGGGTAAGCATGGAGATGGCCAACGGTGAATGGAAGGCGACAGCAGAAGTCTCAGGGCCGCTCCCAGGCACTAGACCATCCAACAAAAAGGCGGACATCACAGCGTTCCTGGACTGCCTGCAATCGACAGAGGGAGACACGAGTTTCTACACCGACTCGGAGATCATGTGCAAAGGTTGGAACTCCAAGAGGCACCTCCTCTCGGGCTACAAGAAGGCGCACGGGGACCTATAGAAGAGGATCAAGCAGCGGCTTGCCACCAGGGGTGACGCGCAAGCTCAAGTACGACACGTCGAGAGCCACATGACGGAGGAACAAGCCAGAGAAAGAAGGACACCTATGGAGACCTGGCACGGCAACCAGCGGGCTGACGTACTAGCGGGGGAAGCGGCGGCCACCCACGAGATCGCAGGTGCGCAAATGAGCTGCTACGATTGGGCAAGGGCGACAGCGCGCATGGTGAGAACTCGGACAGGACAGGCATACAAAGAGCAGTTCGAAATAGTAAAGCCGATGTCCTGGGAGGAGATAGAGGAGGCCAGAAGTAAAAGGAAGAAAGTAGAAGTGAAGGAGACCTTCGAGGAGCTCAAGAAGACATCACCACACATGCTGGTCAGCAAAAAAAAGACCACGTATTGCACGGCCTGCAACGAGTCGATCGGGGTCAACCAAAGGTAGAAGGCGGCGATATGGTGGTTGATGAGGTGCCATGCAGACGATGCCGGAGACAGAACGGACAGAAGGGAACCCGCGAGCAGCTGCCTGACACTCAAAGGCAAACTATCGCACGCGTGGCACGCCATATGATGGTCGGGACACCAAGCCAAATACTTCTGCTGGCAATGTGGAGCCACCGCGGAGAAGCACCTGAGCAGCAAAGAATGGCCTAGCGGGAAAGCATCACAGTATGCATTGAAAGTCCTGAGAAGAAGAAGGACTGGACGGCCAAACCAAAGGTCGAGAGGTATGGCAGGGAAGGCTCGAGTCAGAACGCAGGGGGATCCTCCGCCCCGCCGCTGAGAGAAGGCTCAGCGGCTAACTTGGGGGGTAGAGTCGTACGTTTTGCTGACGGTAAGGCCTCGAGTCAGAACGCAGGGGGGCCCTCCGCCCCGCCGCTGTGAGAAGGCTCAGCGGCTAACTTGGACGGTCGTGTCGTACGTTCTGCTGACAAGGAAGCCTCGAGTCAAAACGCAGGGGGACCATCCGCCCCGCCGCTAAGAGAAGGCTCAGCGGCTAACTTGGATGGTAACGTCGTACGTTTTGCTGGAACTGTGGCCGCCTCGGGCAAGAGGAATACAAAGAAGAGCGGAAAACACCAGGTCAGGAACACGTACGAGGAGATGAGCACAGAGTGCAAGAAGGACACACGCCAGGTCAAGTATACGCACCCGGAGTCGAACAGCGAGAAGGATGTGAAGAGTGCCGACAAGGCCAAGTTCAAAGAGGGCGAACTGCAAGCAGGACGACAAGTACACCTGAGCCACGGGTGAGCATGCTGACCAGAAGCACTCCGTGGACCCCGACGACGCAGAGGCGGCTGCCCTGGGCGAAACTCCTGAATGCAGGGGCCGCAGCCAGGCCAAGCTCAAGGACGAGGAGGAGAAGCTGACGGACTGCATGCAGGACGTCAAGTGCATCGGGGCCACGGAGGTGCAGGCGAACAAGAAGCACTCCGTGGACCCAGACGGCGCGGAGGCGGCGGCCCTGGGCGGAACCCCTGAGTGCAGGGGCCGCCACCAGGCCGGCCGCCTAGACAGTCGGCAGACTGCTAATACATTTCGGGAAACATATTTGGGCTGTGCAGGTTTGGAGGAATGAAGTTGCGCATTTGGTAATGCGTAGATGCCGTTCCTGAGTCTGGCTGTTGGTGAGGCAGTCGGTGGAAGAACCGAGCTCAGTACCCGAACAGCTTACGAGTTTGTTCGATTAAAAGTTTGCCCAGTGACCTGTGGTGGGCTTCATCATGGACAGCGCCGTATCGAGCTGAATTCATCTCTGCTAATCTGGCTGTCGTTACTGTGTGCAATGTGGTATTAACTCTCTGTGTGTCACAAGGGATTCATCAAAGGTATGCTCGGTTGTGGTCGCCCTCCTCTGACTCCTGTGTTTCCTGTCATTAGTCTTCTAGTTAGGCTGCTTCTCGTTCGAGTTCAAACCGAGGCTTGCGGATTCATAACGATTCTTGTGACAACCAGGTAACCTCCTCCTCCTCATCCTCCTCCTCCTCTGACTCCTCCTCCTCCTCCTCCTCCTCCTCCTCCTCCTCTTCCTACTCCTCCTCCTCCTCCCCTCCCCCCCCTCCTCCTCCTCCTCCTCCTCCTCCTCCTCCTCCTCCTCCTCCCCCCCCTCCTCCCCTCCTCCTCCTCCTCCTCCTCCTCCTCCTCCTCCTCCTCCTCTCCTCCTCCTCCTCCTCCTCCTCCTCCTCCCTCCTCCTCCTTCCTCCTTCCTCCTTCCTCCTTCCTCCTTCCTCCTTCTCCTTCCTCCTTCCTCCTCCTGCTCCTCCCTCCTCCTCCTCCTCCTCCTCCTTCCTCCTCTCCTCCTCCTCCTCCTCCTCCTCCTCCTCCTCCTCCTCCTCCTCCTCCTCCTCTCCTCCTCCTCCTCCTCCTCCTCCTCCTCCTCCTCCTCCTCCTCCTCCTCCTCCTCCTCCTCCTCCTTCCTCCTCCCTCCTCCTCCTCCTCCTCCTCCTCCTCTCCTCCTCCTCCTCCTCCTCCTCCTCCTCCTCCTCCTCCTCCTCCTCCTCCTCCTCCTCCTCCTCCTCTCCTCCTCCTCTCCTCCTCCTCCTCCCTCCCTCCTCCTCCCTCCTCCTCCTCCTCCTCCTCCTCCTCCTCCTCCTCCTCCTCCTCCTCCTCCTCTCTCCTCCTCCTCCTCTCCTCCTCCCTCCCTCCTCCTCCTCCTCCTCCTCCTCCTCCTCCTCCTCCTCCTCTTCCTCCTCCTCCTCCTCCTCCTCCTCCTGCTCCTCCTCCTCCCCCTCCTCCTTCTCAGTTGTCGCGAGCTGGAAGTTCTATCCGTTGGACGCGATGGGAACATTCCAAAGCCAGACGGTTCCTGGGTGCCGCAAAAAAAAGAGCACTCAATATCTGGGCAGCCTGATTTCAAGCGACGGGAAGCTTGGCCCTGAACTCCCCCGCCGACCCGGCACCGCGAGGGCAAAATTCGACAAGTTGAAGCGAGTGTGGGGTCATTCCACACTGACGCAGTCAAGGAAGCTTGAGATCTTCAGCGCTTGAATTCTCAGTCAACTGCTGCATTGTCTGCAAACGGCCTTACTGAACCAGGCGGAATAGAAGAAACCCGACGCATTCCACGTGAGATGCTTGAGGCAGATACTTCGCAAACCTCATCCATACATTTGCCACGTAACGAATTCCAGTGTTTTGCAGCAGGCAGGCGTTTCCCCGCTGAGCAATGATGCTCTACTGAATCGTCAGCTGCTGCGTCTGGGGCACATTGCCCGAAAGCCAGCTGATGACCATGTCAGATGCACTGTCTTACGCCCCTTTTTTTTCATGCAAGCTAGCACCACAGAACTTTAAGCGAAAGCGGGGGCGCCCCCAGAAAACTTGGACCGAATCAGTTTTTGCCCACGCTGTCCGGGCCGCGGGGGGTCAGGAGGCCCTGCCGCAGCTCTGGTATGATAGCGTAACTTCTGCCGCAGCCTGGCGCGCAGCCGTGAAGCGGTATTGCGACGCCCTGTGAGGCCACGGCATGTGTGCTCATGTGCTTTGCACTCAGCTTTCTCTCTCTCTCTCACTCTCACTCTCTCTCTCTCTCTCCCAGTTCGGGAAGTGGGGCCGCACCCGAGAAAGCGGAACGTCGTTCTGGCTCCAGCGCTGCCCTGATTGTCCTTGAAGATTTCGTTTCAGCTTGCCTTCGACAGTCATATCAGAAAGTGCACTGCGCGCGAAAGGGCTGAATGGTGTTCTCGCAGAAGCGCCACGCAAGGATTCCTCCCAATTTCCGCTACTGCACGTGAGCAGCCCATGCTCACTCGTCGCAAGATCGTCGGCAGCGGGGCAGCGCGCGCGTGCGAGCGCCCTCCGCTCGCCGGATGGGGGCGAGGCGCCAGTCCCAGTATCATGTTGCGCCAGCGTCGGCTCTCTATTCTATGGGAGGGAGTGTGGGGCGGAGCCCTCTGACACTGTTCTACTCTACGATTCCTGTTCCTGGTCATCCTCCTGCTCCTGTTTCTGTTACTTTTACTCCAGCAGAAACGCCTACTCCTTCTCACAACTGCACTACGGACGTCAAGGAAATGAAAGTCAAAAACAGAAGGGTCCAACAAGAATGCGGGAAGGAACAGAGGAATGAATAAGGGAGATCAATAGAGAGATACGTCTGGAGGGCGGACGACGACTGACCGCGAAACTGCAGCGTGCCGAACATGGTTAGGCAACATCAATGCTCAACATTTGAGGTTGCGAGCTGCAACAACAGATCTGCAGTGCCATCGATCTATTGACACACATCGCAGACAGGCACGAGCAGTCTCTGGAGCGAAGAGGGACGTATCACCAGCAGCGAACGCGACAGGGCGGGCACGAACACTAGGGACATCCACCGACGACGTAAGCGCTTAAAGCAGTGCACCGCTTCACGCCAACCATGGGATGAGAAGAGACGGGCTAATAGCACCTGCTGGCAACGGAGGTGCACATGAAACACGTGGAACAAATATCTGAACCCTCTGTACTCCTACCCCGTTCTAAAGCCAAATGTGGCTGCAAAGAAACGAAGAGCAAGCGGAACAAGGCAAAGCGGCATCAGACAAGACACTGGATTGGGGAAGAGAGAACCTGCCAGTGCGGCATCCCAGCGCTGCTTCGCGCTTTCAGGGTTGCGTTCAGGAGCCACTTCTCTCCAGCGCCCGCACGCTACCTTGCGGCTCAATTGCGCCCGCGTGCACTCCACGACTCCTACCACCCGGGCTTAATAAGTATCTCCCCTTTTCTTCGTCCCCTTCCAGATTCCCTTTTGTCATGCGCCTGGCTGTCCTAATCATGTTTCCCCGTCTCCACCCATCAAGTACGTGGTGAGCTTGAGTTGAGGAACGTGAGGGTCAGGGAAGGGAGTAACGAGCATGTGGAGGAGGACGAACCCCATCAGCCCTCAGTTGAACGTATTTCCTCTTCCACCCCGGTGTTTGAGTTTCCGCCCCCCTAAGACACCCCCTGGCTTTGGAGGAGGGGGGAGGCGAACGGTCAGAGCGCCACAGACGGTCCAAAATGGATCCAAGATGGCCCTGGAGAGCCACAAATGTTTTCCAGGATGGCCCAATATACCACATGATAAGTAGAAATTGCCCGCAAGATGACCCCACGAGGTCTCAAAATCGCCCCCAGACGGCCCCGAGTGGCCACGGAGCCTGCCAAGGGTCCCCCCGAGAGACCAATATCCATGCAACATCGATGGAATTCCATCGACTGTGACCTTCTCACCCTGTCGCCCGATGGGCCTCTGAAGCTTCAAGATGACCCGCGGATGCCGAAGCGAGCCCCAAGAGAGGCCCAGGAAGGCCCCAAGAGCGCCCAGATGCCTTTTCGCTTCAAGCCATGCAATATGAACAACAACTGACGTTGCAAAGACGTTGGCATCTCGGAAGCATCGCTGGAAGGCTCGCGGGACAAGATGGCCCCAAAATGGCCCCACGATGACTCCAAGAGTGGACGGAAGAGACAATCAATGAGTCGAACCTACCGTGGGGTCCGCAGGGACAGGACGATAGGGAGGAAAGAAAGGCCTCGCCCATGCGCCCGCGGAAGCAGGGGCGCGCAAAATGTCCAGGTGTCCAATACCCTAGCCGAGAGGATAGCAGGATAGATGGATAAAAGGGGGCAATGAGCGGTCTTCATATATATATATATATACACACACACCGTCCCGAATCCCGCCCTTTCCACGTCGGCCTCGGGCCGTTTTGGGGCCAGGCCTTTAGACTCCTTCAGATTCTTCATCGCCACGGGGCCGAAAGGCGCATCAAGTACTGACTTGTCTCTGCCCGTTGCCGAGCTAGACCTTCCTGTCCGCGCGCCAGGTAGCGAAGGTGCCCAGTCGCCGCGATAGGCCGGACCCTCCTGGGACTCTGCAGACCTCGCAGCATCCGGTTGCTTGGGCAGCGGTGTGGAGCTGCCTCTGAAGCGGGCAGCTCTCCATCTGACATTGCCTGAACGTCACCGCGCGGGACCACAATCGCCCTCCACGTCGCTGTCGGGGGACTCCCCTAGGTCCACCTCTTGTCCTGGACGCAGTCTCTTTGCAATGGCCGCCTGTGACTTATCGGTATCCTGGGCATCCGGGGCGCGACCGCCCTCTTTCTCGCCGGGGTCACCGTCTCCCCGGGCGCGCCCGCCCAGCGGTTTAGCGGGCGAGGTAGGCGCGAGAAGCCGCCCCTCCTGACCTCCTCGTTCTTCAATCCTCACGCCCGCCGCTCGGGCGACGCGGGGGGAGACGCAGGAGGCTCGGCACCAGAGCTATCCACGATCTGCCCCGTCGCATTCAGCTCGCGCCGACGGTGGGATACTGCGATCCCTGTCCACATGCGCCTCAACACGATCTTTGTTCTGCCGTTGCCAGTGCCAAGTCTACTCGTAGATCTTGAAAATACGATCATCGAACAAAGCTTCCCCGTCATCGTCAACGTCTTCGCATCCGCATCGGTCAATGGGACGCAATCCTCAATGGACGCAGCCGCCCTTCCGCCCACGCCGCCACCGTGGCCAGAACGCCGCGGCGCCACGCCATGATGCGGGATGCCAAATGGACGGCCCATTGGGCAATTGCGGCGGTATTGGCTGCGAGGCGGGAATGGACACACACGGTAGGTCCTGCGAGCTTGAATAACGTCTTGCGCGCACGCACGCCTCTCATCACTCCCTTGCACGCAATGATCTGACGCTTTGATGATGCGGCTTTTGTCATCGCGAGTACCGTGCTTTGAAAACCACCAAATCTGAGTTTCTGAGGATCCCTGTTCGACGTAGCAGTCCATGCATGCGAAATGAATATCAATGCGTTGGCCTTCGTCATGAAGGAAAAAAAGCATACCCAATACCAGAGGACGACCACCCTTTTCCCCGACCCATCTCGCTAGATCTCGCAACATGCGCGGGCTCTGCAGACCGAGCATGGTCCCGCCGCGCGCGAGCGATTACGACCTCGACCGGCCGCCCGTGTCAGGGCTACGTTTGCCAGATTTCCCTCGCGCGCCCGCCGCGGCGCGGGCAGCGGCGGCGCGGCCGCGGCGAGTGTTTCCTTTGTCGCCCGTATAAGGCCACACGAGCCAATAGGAGCCTTTTTCCAAACTTACCCCACATCATAAACGCGCCGGCGCGGGCCTGCCCCCATCCCACAGCAGCCCGCTCCTCGTCGGTGAGACAAACACCATTGGATTTGGGAGCGGGTGGAGCTTCGCCTGCACGTGTCCTAGCTGTTCCATTATGTCAGCGTCGGCGGCAGACACGGCCCCCGCGCCAGACACAGTCGCCATCGCCCTCGTCGTCCGAGTCGGGACGCAGGCGCCCGCGCCGACGCGTGCCAGTCCAATCCTCAACGGGCGCGTCGAACAGCTCCCCGACCCCGTCGCGCAGACACTCGGAGCGGCGTTCGACTGGCATGGCAGCATCGACAAAGTGGGCCATCAAAAACCAAGCGGAACTTGAACGGGCGTGGAAGGGGCGGTCGATTTCGGGGAAATCAACGCATCAAATGACATCCGTTCCGGATCACTCTGAGCCGAGGAGTACCGACCCATCCCCATTCCCACCTCCCTTGGAACACTGCGCGTGGAAGTGTTTATCGCTTCCGCAGGCATTGCATGCCACCCGTTTGCCGTTTTTGCCCACTGGATTGAGCCTGCGCCCCTCTTCCCTTGCCCGCAGTACGCCCACGACCTTTGCCTCTGTCTTCGCCTCCAAGAAATAAATCCTCAAAGCCTTCGTCAGTCAATTGAGCCAGAAATGCGGCTACGCCTTTGCTGCGCAATCTGCGGGGGCATCTACCACCTTTGCCGCGGCCTTTACCTTCACGGAAAAAGACACGACGCACAGTTCGCCTCATTATCCTAACTTGTTCCTTCATATGTCGCCCCCACCTTATTTGACGCGGCGATAGCCAAGGCATAGGCACTGCGTTGCTGCATCACTACTGGCGGGTGGATCTGACCAGTCGAGATTTTCATCGCCAGTAGAGGAGACCGCATCGGCATCCGCGCCAGAATCGAAGACGCCGCCATCTCGTCGGCCGGGGGAACCCAGAGGGTGGTCGCGTCAGGTGGCGTATACCTGGCAGCCGATGGCCAACCAACTTTGGAGCCAGAAGCACGTGCATTGTTCGCTTCTTGGCCTAGAAACATCGTGGACTCAGCAGGCTTCCCGCCATTCCAAATGCCATTCGGCACGGCGGCCAGTGCGTCGCTTATTTCGGCATGGTAGGTGCCGGCGGTGCGTCCGCTGAAGATGCCCCTGATGTTCCCCGGGGGGGCGCGGAGCCAAGTGTCCACGGCTGCGCGTTCGCTCCAGGAGTTGGTCGCATTTGTTGGGTACGGGGCATCTGGTGGTTCAGCGGTTGAGGAAGCTGCGCTGCTCGGGAGGTACCAACTCCCACGGCGCGAAATGAGATCAGATAAGATCAGAATAAGGATCTGGAAGTTGGGCACGTTGAACCCCGCTGAATTTGCTTCCAGCCTGGCCATCTCGAATCGGGCCAGCACTGAGTCGATGCGTTCGCCCCGATTGACCCTGAAGTCGATGAGGGCTGTCCCCGAGGTGAGCTGTCGCTCGTCCTCCAGGTTTTCAAAATTGGCGCTCAGCAGGCACGTGATGTACGCGACTCCGTCGGTGCGTCCACCCTGTAAGGCGACACCATAGTTGATGATGGTGGACGGCTGCCTTATGGCTAGTGCCCTAGCCAAGCCCCCTAGGCCGCGCTGCAACGCCGCGGCCTGTCGGGGTGGAGTCATACTCCCGCGCGCGACATTAAGCCGTGCGTGTACTTCGCGGACAAAACCGCGGAAGGGTGCGTTGCCTGCGGGATCCCAGAACGGACCCCGAGTGCGCGTTTCATCCAGTCCCCCCCTCGCATGTATGACACGGCTAGACCTAGGCATACCCTTATGTCTCCAAGAACAACGACCTTGGCATAACGCATGGTCATGTTGCAGCTGACGATGTCAGGTTTCGTATCATTGGAGATTGTCGCGTCGATCGGGTTGCCACTGGGTGTCTGGTTTGACGTGGCCGTCAGTTTGCGGACGGGAATCGGTACTTGGTTTGTGCGTGGCGTGTGGCCACGCGGCGGGGACACGGAGGTTAGTACTGTAGGTTACTAATTGGTTGGAGGAAATTGGAGTGAAGTGGCTGGTAGCTGGCGCGATCGGGGACCCCACTATGCCGTGGTAAGGTGGTATGCACAACACCCGATGTAAAAGCCAGCCACATAAAGATGTAGCAAGCTCCGCTGCCAAGTGCAAAATAAGGGTTGAAGGCTTGAACATGAGGTAATAAGCTGAAACCCTGCTCTCAAGATAACGCCGGCGACGTATCGAGGTATCCCATAACTCAACCCTTGATGGCAAGCAAGATGAGAGATAAGAGACAAGCCATGAGAGGTAGAGGTGGATCATTGATAGACCTGGTTTTTGTCTGATACTATAAACCATATAGAGTCACACTGCCGTGTAACTAAGGAATAGGGCTGCGCAACCTTGACCCAAGATTGCAGCGGATATTGCATTCTCTAAACAGCCCCACCTTAAACCTCGTTTAAAATTCAGCGCCGTCCAGTTCCGTCGTCTTTATCCTTTAAAAGATCTGCGCAATGGTAGCGATGGATCCAACCTGCCGCGGTCCAAGAGTAGAGGTCGGAAATATGTATCTCTCGCCAGGTCGCGCCGGCAGGCGCCGATCACAATCGTCGCGGTCCCCTGGGCCCAAGCCGGCGCGGCGCGCGCCAGGCCTCATGCCCTGTATGCTCGAGTCGGCACGCTGGCGGAGAGCAGCAGGAGCACGGTCCCCCCCCCCTTTAAGCCATGGGGCCCAAGATCGACCCACGAAGGCCTGGAGACCTCGCTAAAAAGCCCCAAGAGAGACCCAAGAAGGGCCCGAGATGGGGCCAAATTCGCCCCAAAAGGGCCCAAACACGGCTCCAAGAAGCCTCTCCCACGACGCTCCAACAGCAAAAGATCTGCGAAGGCGTTCCCCTTCTCTTCTGCCTCATCTACATCCTCCTCCTCCTCCTCCTCCTCCTCCTCCTCCTCCTCCTCCTCCTCCATCTCCTCCTCCTCCTCCTCCTCCTCCTCCTCCTTCGCATCGGTTCTTATAAGGTGGTTGGGATACACGAAGCGTCAACGTGGGAAACCGAGGCTTGACGACAGGCATGGCATGAATCGTTGTACTGCCAACATCCTAGCAAATCCATTGTTTCGTGTTTGCAAGCCTTCATGTAACTGCAGAATAGCACCATGCCAGGGATTAAAAACAAGATAATGACGGGAAGAGAAGGCGGGAAAGGAAACACTTGGAAAAGCACGGCGGCCCTGAACCGAACCAGTCGAACCAAAGCCCTAACCGAACCGAGCTGGTAAGCCGAAACTGGCCCAAACGGCCAAATCGAAGCGGTTGGAACCGAAACGGCCTGGGCCCTCCAAAATACCCGTAAGAGCTCCAAGGGGCTCCAGAGAGCCCTAGGGGCCTAAGGGGCCTGGGGGACCCCTGGGGAGCAGGGGGGGCCCGGGTGACTCGGGGGGAGGGGGGGGGCCGCCATGCGGACGCTTCCACTGGAGCCCTTGGCGCAGCTCTCTACAAGGCCACGACACGTGAAAGGGATGTGCCCAAACAATGTGTGCAGTGCCACCAAGCGGACGCTGCCACTGGGCCTTCGCCGGGGCTCCGCACGGGGCCACGACACGTGTGAGGGGTTTGCCCAAATATGTGCGGTGCCGCCATACGGACGCTGCCACTGGGGCCTTCGCCAGAGCTACCTATAGGGCCACGACACGTGAAAGGGGTGTGTCGAAATGGGCGCGGTGTCGCCATGCGGACGCTGCCACTGGGGCCTTCGGCGGAGCTTCCTGTAGGGCGGGCGACGAATCGTGTGAAGGGTGCGCCCACATGAGCGCGGTGCCGCCATGCGGACGCTGCCATTGTTGCCTTCGGTGGAGCTCCCTATGGAACCGCGACACGTGTGAGGGCTGTGCCGACATGGTACGTGGAGGGCATACCAGGAGAGGAGCAAAGGAGGAGGGGGGGGAGGAATGTGAGGTGGAGCTCGGAGCTGCGGGTGCAAAACGAGGACCCAACACCACAGGATGGTTGGGAAACCAATGTGTACCAGTCATGTGTCAAAAAACAATGCGCGGAGGGGAGCGCGCCACTCTCAGGACGCCTTCGGGGGAGAGAGGAGTCTAGTTCCCAAACAGCGCTTGCACTTAAATGCTCTTACTTGTCTGCCTAAGGAATTGAGTGGGTATGGCGGGGAACCTCGTGGACGCCGCGTGCGCTGGGTGGGTCCAACGACGTTTCGCCACGATGCCGCCTCTTTGTCGCCTCGTTGCCGCCTCGTACGCTGAATCCGGCAAGATTCCGTAACGTTGCGGCCTCGTTGCCCTGGTCTGGTGAGGATTGCCGCCGCTGAGTGGGTCCGCAGAGGTATCGCCACGTTGCCGCCTCATTTCCTCCTCGTTGCCGCCTCGTTGCCCCCTCGTGCGCTGGGTGGTTCTGGCGAAATTTCGACACGTTGCCTCCTCGTTGCTGCCTCGTTGCCGCCTCGTGCGCTGGGTGGGTTTCGCCACGTTCCTGCATCGATGCCGCCTCGTTGCCGCCCCGTTGCCGCCTTGTTGCCGCCTCGTTGCCACCTCGTGAGCTGGGTGGGTTTCGCCACGTTGCTGCCTCGTTGCTGCCTCGTTGCCGCCTCGTGCGCTGGGTGTGTCCGGCGAAGTCTCGTCACGTTGCCGCCCGTTGCCGCCTCGGTGTCGCGTGTGCTGGGTAATTAGGTCCAGCGAGGTATCGCCAAGCTGTCGCTCGTTCCCGCCTAGTTGCCGCCACGTGCGCTAGGTGGGTCCTGAAAGGTTTCGCCACGTTGCTGCATCATTGCCGCCTCGTGCACTAGGTGGATCGGGCAAGGTTTCGCCACTCTGCCGCCTAGTTGCCGACTCGTTGCCGCCTCGTTGCCGCCTCGTTGCCGCCTCGTGCGCTGGGTGGGTCCAGCCAGGTTTCGCTACGGTACCGCTCGTTGCCGCCTTGTTGCCGCGCTGTGGGCTGCTCATACACTGGATCGGTCTGGCGAGATTTCGCCACGTTGCTGCCTCGTTGCCGCCTCGTTGCCGCCTCGTTGTCGCCTCGTGCGTTGAGTGGGTCTGGCGAAGTTTCGCCCAGCTGCCGCCTCGCTTCCGCCTCGCTGCCGGCTCGTGCGCTGGGTAGGTCTGGTGCCGCCTCGCTTCCGCCTCGCTGCCGCCTCGTGCGCTGGGTGGGTCTGGCGAGGTTTCGCCACGCTGCCGCCGATTACCGCCTCGTTGCGGCCTCGTGCGCTGGGTGTGTCCGGCAAGGTTTCGCCACGTTGCCGTCAATTGCCGCCTCGCTGCCGCCTCGTGCGCTGGATGGGTCCAGTGAGGTTTCGTCACATTGCCGCCCGTTTCCGCTTCGTTGCCCCTTCTAGCTTGCACAACGTCAACTCTCAATAGACTCTGCCCCCCCCCTGGCGTTATCGGTCCCCCTTTCGGGTATGCAAATCACACATGATTATGACCACATGCACATCCGAAATATGAATTTACACTATCCCTGGGGGGTCGGGTTCCCCCCCCTGAGGTTCCCTTCTTAAAAAACCCTATGCGGTAATATTTATTGTTCTAACATAACACTTGTTCACGAATCCCTTGCAAAAACGGGACGAAGTGCACACGCGCGCGCCGTCACGCGCGCATGCCGAAATCCTTCAAAAACCTTCGGTGCCGGAAGGGTTCGCAATCGAGTATCAAAAAAACATACAAAAACACAAGGCTTCGCAACACTGATTTGCTCAAAAGCTCCTGCGCGAGCTCTTGCGAGATCTTGAGAAAACCACAGGTTTTTCAAGATTTTCACAAAATGCTACCAAACAGGCTTTGCGCGCGCATGTCGAAATCTGTCGAACGCCCTTGCGCGTGTGCCGTCGCGAGAATCCTCTGCAAAAAGTGGGACGAAGTGCAGACGCGCGCGTCGTCGCGCGCGTATGCCGAAATCCTTCAAAACCCATCGGTTTCGGAAGGATTTCGAAATCGTGTGTCCAAAAAACCTACAAAAACCCAAGGTTTCGCAACACAGATTTTCAACAAAAGCGTGCGCGCGCGCTCTTGCGTCGTCGTCGTCGTCGTCGTCGCCGTCCTCCCTCCTCCCGTGTCGTCGTCGTCGTCGTCGCCTACGTCGTCCTCTGTCTTTCCTCGTGTTCGTCGTCGCCGTCCTCGTTGGCGTCGTGGTCGTTTCCGTCGTCGTTGTCGCCGTGGTCGTCCTTCCTCCTCCTCCCTCGTCGTCGTCGTCGTCCGTCGTCGGCGTCTCGTCGTCGTCCCTCCTATTTCGTCGCCGTCGTCGTCGTCGTCGTCGTTGTCGTCGTCGTCGTCTTCCTTCCTCCCTCGTCGTTGTCGTGGTCGGCGCCACCGTCCTTCCTCCTTCTTCGTCGTTCGCCTCGTCGCCGTCCTCCCTCCTCCCTCGTCGTTGTCGTCGCTGTCGTCGTTGTCGCTGTCGCCGTCCTCCCTCCTCCCTCGTCGTCGTCTTCGTTGGCGACGTCGTTGTCGTCGTCGTCGTCGTTGTCTTCGTCGTCGTCGTCGTCGGCGTCGTCGTCGTCGGCGTCGTCGTCGTCGTTGTCATCGTCGTCGTCGTCGTCGGCGTCGTCGTCGTCGTCGGTGTCGTCGTCGTCGTGGTCGCTGTCGTCGTCGAAGTCGTTGGAGACGTCGTCGGTGTCGTCGTCGGTGTCGGCGGCGCCGTCGTCGTCGTTGTCGCTGTCATCGTCGGCGTCGGTGTCGTGGCGAAGTGCCATCTGGTACCTACCGTCACGGTCTTGTCTTAAGAAGTCTTGCGACCAAGTTGCGGGTGGGAGGGTGGGATGTTTGCACGAGCAGTGGAGAGGACAGCTTCAAGACGGTCAAAGTGGACTGCACCACCTAGCTTGCACCACATAGCTTGCACATGCAGTGGAATAAATGATGTTTGGTGCCGACGCTGGCTGCCATGATGTTCTGATTGTGTGTGTGTTGCATATGTGAAGGGAGGAGGAGAAGGGGACGAGGCGAAAAAAAGCAGAGGAATGACACGGAAGGGAATGCCCAAAAAGGCGTGCACAGCCCTGATGACTATCAGCCCTTGCTAGCATCGTACCGTCAGTCGACGAGGTGGGGAGGTGTTCTGGCCGCCTTCCCTCGATCGAACTCGCTCGGTTGAAGCAGACATACGATGTTCATGGGAGGGGGCCGCCCCTGAAGCCGAACCCTGGCGTGACGAACCCAGCGTTGTTTCCTGACAGCGCGTGGATCGTTCAAACTTGAACGAGCGGCGGCTTCTCGATCGCCAGATCGTTCCATACTGGCCGATTCTGGGCCACTGGCGGCGCTCAACCAAGAACGCCCGCGGCGGGGTCGCCGCCAGGCCGACACGACGCAAACCTGCCGCAAGGGAGTGCAGGAGAAGAAAGGAAGGCATGGAGCAGCCGGCTGCGCCTTCCACCTCTGGCTGGCAACCCGGTTGACGTCCGCTGGACGGGCGATTTTTTGTTCATGCGCTGCACGGGCGACCTTACGTCATCACGCCTCTAGAACCCCCCCCATTCGGGGCACTTGTCCCTCCCTCTCGACGAACCTGGCCCCGCCGCATCGTGGGGGGGGGTAACAAAAAAAAACTATGAAAGAACAGTCCCCAAGAAGGGGTCCAGACCTCTGGGGAGCCACGTTGCTCTTCCTCCTCCGCTTTCTCCTCCTCTCCTCGTCCTCCTCCTCCTCCTCCTCCTCCTCCTCCTCCTCCTCCTCCTCGTCCCTCTTTTCCTCCTCCTCCTCCTCCTCCGCCTCCTCCTCCTCCTCCTCCTCCTCCTCCTCCTCCTCTCCTCCTCCTCCTCCTCCTCCTGGTCCTCCTCCTACTCCTGGTCCTCCTCTCCTCTCCTCCCCCTCCTCCTCCTCCTCCTCCTCCTCCTCCTCCTCCTCCTCTCCTCCTCCTCCTCTCTCATCATCATTCATCATCATCATCATCATCATCATCATCATCATCATCATCATCATCAGCAACAGCAGCCATTATCATCATCAGCATCATCAGCAGCAGCATCATCGTCATCATCAACATCATCAGCATCAGCATCATCATCATCATCATCATCATCATCATCATCATCATCATCATCATCATCATCATCATCATCATCATCATCATCATCATCATCATCATCATCATCATCATCATCAGCAGCAGCAGCATCATCATCATCATCATCATCATCATCATCATCATCATCATCATCATCATCATCATCATCATCGTCATCATCATCATCATCGTCTTATGACTATGCTTCTTAATATTATTCTAGTAGTGTTAAAAGTAATATGATTATCGGTACTACTATTACTATTAATAGTAATAATACTAGTAATCGTATCAGTTTCCTTATTGTTAGTAGTATCGTTATTGATATTATACAGTAATATTAGTGGAATGATCAATCATGCTACTAATATTAGTACTACTAGTATGACTAACACTAGCATTATTATCACTATTGAGATTCGTGCAATTAGTATTATTAGTATGATGAATATTAGCACTACTATGTCTATTATTCGTCTTCTGCTTAGTATTATTCGTCGTGTTCTTATCAATGGTGTGTGCCCTCTTCTTGTTAATACTAGTACTCGCATGCTTAATCTTATTATAAGTAGTACTACCACTCGTAACAATATCCTTCGTATAGTAATATTTAATAGTACTGTTCTGACTCGTAATAAGATTACCCTTCCTCTTATCAATATTATCAATATTGATAACAGTATTCTCCGTTTTAGTACGACCATTGTTCGTGCTCTGCTTGTTGTTAGTATCAGTCTTGTTCGTAGTATTAGTAATACTAGTGCTCGTGTAACTATGTGTCGCATGACTCTTATTAGTCTTAGCACCCGCATTATTACTATTCGTAATAATAGTATGTGTATTATCATTAGTTTGTTTCTTATTGATGTATGAGTGTTAGTAGCATTATTAGTACTCTTACGATGCTTATTACTGTTCGTGATGTTATTACTTTTCGTTATATTATTCGTAGCATTATTATTCGTTTTAATACTATTAGTGATAGGTTTCGTATCTTTCTTATTAATTGTCGCACGAGTGTCATTCTCCGTATTCTTGTCATTCGTACTATTCTTATGTTTGTTATCCGTATTATTCGTCTTATGTTTCTAATTGTTAGTATGATTGTTGTCTGATTGGTATGTCTATTCATACGATTCGCATCCGTACTAGTATTCCTACTTTTCGTCTTAATAAGCATAGAACTCCTAGTATTATTCCACGTCCTCGTCCTCCTCTTTCTCCTCCTCCTCCTCCTCCTCATCATCATCATCATCATCGTCCTCCTCCTATTATTTTTCCTCCTCCTCCTCCTCTTCCTCCTCCTCCTCCTTTTCCTCCTCCTTGTCCTCCTCCTTCTCCTCCTCCTCATCCTCCACCTCCTCCTCTTACTCCTCCTCCTCCTCCACCTCCTCGTCCACCCCCTCCTCCTCCTCCTCTTCCTCCTCCCCTTCCTCCTCCTCCTCCTCCTCCTCCTCCTCATCCTCCTCCTTTTCCTCCTCTTCATCCTCCTCCTCCTCCTCCTCCTCCTCCTCCCGATACTCTCATAAATGCCTGTACCTCTGTCGTCCGCATGACCCCTTCGACACACCCTTCACATGTTTCGTGGCCCCATTGGGAGCTCAACCGGAAGCCCCTCTCGCAGAATTCGCATGCGGTTCCCCGCCCATTTCGGCACACCCTTCACAGTATTCGTCACCGTATGAAAAACCCGACCGAAGGTCCCACTGACAGGGTTCACATGCGCCCCCCCGCCCAGTTCAGCAAACCCCTCCGACGCTTCGTGGCCCCTTGCAAGGCGCATTGCTCGCATTCGGTTCCCCGCCCATATCGACATACCCCTCACACACATGGTGATTCCATAAGAAGCCTCACCGAAAGCAACATTGGCAAGGTTCGCATGCGGCTCCCCACCCATGTCGGCATTCTCCTTACACCCCATGATCCTCCTCATCCTCTTCCTCCTCCTCCTCCTCCTCCACCTCCTCCTCCTCTTCCTTTTCCTCCTCCTCCTCCTCCTCCTCCTCCTCCTCCTCCTTCACCTCCTCCCGATACTCTCATACATGCCTGTACCTCTGTCGTCCGCACGACCCCTTCGACACACCATTCACATGTTTCGTGGCCCCATTGGGAGCTCAACCGGAAGCCCCACTGGCAGAATTCGCATGCGGTTCCCCGCCCATTTCGGCACACCCTTCACCGTATTCGTGGCCGTATGAAAAACCCAACCGAAGGTCCCACTGACTAAGAGGGTTCACATGCGCCCCCCCGCCCAGTTCGGCAAACCCCTCAGACGCTTCGTGGCCCCAAAGGGAACCTCACCCAAGGCGCATTGTTCGCATTCGGATCCCCGCCCATATCGACATACCCTCCACACGCATGGTGACTCCATAAGAAACCTCACCGAAAGCAACATTGGCAAGGTTCGCATGCGGCTCCCCGACCATGTCGGCATTTTCCTTACCGGCTTCGTGGCCCCATAGGCACCGAAGACACCGAAGGCACGGTTCGCATGCGCCCCCCCCGCCCGTTTCGGCACACACACAGATCTATAGATACATACTATGTGAATAATAGTACATATGTGCATATATATATATATATACATACATACATGCATGCAAGCATACATACATATAGACGTGTATACATATACACATGTATATATATATATATATATATATATATATCAACTATACACAAACATCTATAGGAAGACGACCAGCTCCCCACGGGGCACAAGCCAGGCGGTGGCGGCGCAACGGAAAGCAGAGCAGGGGGCAAGTCGCACACACACACACACACACACAAACACACACACACACGCACACACACATACACACAAACACAAACACAAACACACACACACACACACAATTTCTGGCGTCGCGGCCTCGCGCGCGGCGGCGAGGCGTAGAAAGTCGAGTCCAAGCAGCGAAACGCGCGCGCCTACGCCGAGCCGAAATCTCGGCGGCACTGGCCGGAGGCCATTACAATCTCAGAGACCCTCAAAGTCCCGCATCGCCCGGCGGCACCCATAACTACCGGGGCCTGAATAGAATGGAAGGGCGCCGAGCGGACGAAGCCCCCGTGCAAGAGGGAGACGCCGTAAGCAAACCGGGACTGGAAGGTGGGGAAAGTGGCCCCAGCTCTCCCACCGGCGGCGCATCCGAGCGCCCTGGCGGTCCAAATCGCCGCTCTCGGCGGCAGACTTCCAGCCGCCCTTGCCGGCGCCCTCGCGGCTGGACGCGGCCGCGCAGGCTGCGATGCCAGTGGCATCCGCCTTGCCACTCGGCCCCTTGAAACCTTTTCCGCCGCCGTAAATCCCTGCGGCGATACCCAGCAACGTGGCCAACGTGTCCGATTGCCTTGCTGCGCTTGAACTCTGGATCTCCCGCAATCGTTCTCTCCACCAAGCTCTCGCGGGCGATCTTGTCGCACATGGTCGCAGGATGAATGCGTCGCTTCTTCGCCTCAAAGCGGGCGCGCGCACTGCGACCACGCGCGCGCTCTCGCACTGGCCGCGAGCTCGGGCATGGCCGGCCACCACCAGGACCCCCCCCCCCGACGCCGCAGGATTGCGCGCGGGGGTAGCTGGCCGAGCGCCACGGCTGCCACCCCGCGCCTGCGACGTCGCGACTCCGCGACAATGACCGGCCGCGGCGCGTCGCAGCGCCCCTTACCATCTCTGCTGCTAGGCCGACGCGCGCGAAGACCCGGCGCGACGCGCGCCGGACGCGCGCCTGGCGCGACGCTCGGCCTCCGAAGACGCACTGGCGCCGGGCCTCATAATCTGCGCCCCTGAGACGCATCTGGTCGGGAAATTCAATCTTCCGCTCGCGATTGCCGAGTCGGCACCCAGATCCACCAGCATTGCCCGCGCCAGGGCCCCAACCGCCCATATCTCTCGCCGTCCGCGCAGCCGCGCTACCGCGTCGGGCCACCCGGGCGGCGCCGTGGACGACTTACCCTTCGCGCGCGCGACACCGCCACTGCAGGGAAAGTCTCACGCCGAGGCCATCGCGAAGATACTCGCAAGTTGCCGCGCGTCGAACGCGCTGGTCGCGACCTTCGCTGACGCGCGCCCCCCTGCGGCGCCGCGGTCGCGCGGGCGGCGGGGGCTGCGCGGCGCCGCTGGGGAACCGCGGCAGTAGCACACGCGACGCGGAACACCTCATGGCCCGTCCGCCCTCAACTGACCAGTAGCCGGCCGGGGCGAGGGCGAAAGACCCGCGCCACAGAGGCCACGAGTAGGCCTCGGGCGGAACGACCTTGACGGGACACCCCATGGCCCAGCTGTCCGCGCAAACCAGCGGCTGGCCGCGGCGAGGGCGAAAAAGCCCAAGCCGCAGAGACCACTGGTAGTCGCGAGGCGGGTCGACCTCGGGGGGCACTTCGCGGTCCGTCTGTCCGCCGCGG